CGGCATTCAATGACTCATCTAACTGAGGTATACGCCACTTCCTTTTTATTACAATGGAATGCACGTCACCTAATGCCAAAACGCAGCGATTTCAAGGATTTTGTCAGTCGCTACAAATTCTCGGTTTTAGCTATCTGTGAAGGCCACGTATCCGAACAATTTCGCCTGCCTGATTACGTGCTATATCCCTCAAACGCTCAGCTCCGTTCCTCAAGAGTAATGTTAGGTATAAGATCCGAGCTTTCATCAGTAGAAATTGTGAGTGACATTGATAGTTCTGGAGAATTTGTTGCTTGTAAGGTACGCATTCGTGGCCTGGTACTTAATATTGTTTGCGTATATATACCACCAGGAAGCACAACAGACTTACAACGCCTAGAAGGTCTCATTGCTTCTTTGGATGCACCTTACATACTGTGTGGAGACTTCAATGCACATAGTCCAACCTGGGGCAGCTCTCATACATCAAAGAGAGGATCAATGTTAGACTCAATACTCATTTCAAACAACCTTTGCGTTCTAAACGACGGATCTCCGACATTCCTTAAAGGAGACGGATACACTAGTTGTTTAGACTTGACCATCTGCTCTGCAGGCTTGGTAGCTCAGGCCAATTGGTATACCGACTGCGACACCAGAGGAAGCGATCATCTACCTATCTATATAAGTCACACAAAATTACATCCATTTGTGAAACATAGACATACAGTTTTAACTGACTGGTCCAAGTTTCGTGCACTGAACGCTGACTCAATGACAAATTTGAAGACACTAGATGATTTCGTTTCTGGGATAAAAATTAACCTTGAGAAATCATCACAAACGTTAAAAGTCCCTCAAGGACATCTAGGGGTAGATCCTGAGTACCAGAAATTGCGTGCTCAACGCCGACAGGCGGAACGAAAAGCTCGAAGGAGCGGAATACTTGAAGATCAAATGAAAGCCCGACGAATTCAGACGAAAACAAAACACGAGCTCGAATATTTGGGAAAACGCCGATGGAAGAGTCTTTGGGATTCAATATTACCGAACACCCCGAAAATACAAGCATGGCGCATAGTTCGCTCATTAAAATCGCCGGTGTTACAACGCCAACCATTGCGCGCGCTGGCACTTCATCGAGGTGTTAGCGATATGAATATAGCCGAAGAATTTTGCAGAGCAGTGACGCAACACGTTTCTACAGCCATAGCAAACACGGATCAGAAAACCCCATCCCCGCGGCTATCAACAGCTTACAACCATATCATGAATCTGCCATTTAACAAAAGTGAACTGAAATGGGCATTGAGAAAGCTCAGGCGAAAAAGTGCCCCAGGACCAGATGGTATCACTCCGGCTGCACTAACGAATATTGGGAAGCACGCAATGTCCTTTTTACTGGATATGTATAACCAATGCTGGGCTAGTGGTTGTATACCCCTTGTCTGGAAAGAAGCAATTTAGTGCCTGTTTTAAAACCTGGAAAATCCCCTCTAAGCATCTCATCTTTTCGTCCAGTGAGCCTCACCAGCGTGCTGATGAAGACGATGGAACATATGGTCTTACAGCGACTAAATTGGTGGTTAGATTTCAGTGGAATATTGCCGTTCCAAATGACCGGTTTTAGGCGGAATATGTCAGCTATGGATTCTGTACTCGATCTCGTGACCTGTGTAAAACACGAACGCAGCATTCACAAAATCACAGTAGCAGTGTTTCTAGACATTCAGCGGGCATTTGACACTGTTAGCCACTGCCATGTTATCGACCAGCTTCAGCGACTAGAAGTAGGTGACCACCTAGTGAACTGGATGAGTGATTTCCTCCATGATCGATCGGTGTACGCACGGACGCCCAATGGTTTTACATCAAAGCACTATGTTTCACAAGGAGTTCCTCAAGGAAGCGTATTAAGTCCCACATTATTTAACCTTGTATTGACAGAACTTCCTGGTCTATTACCAGATAATGTATCAATTTCCATGTATGCTGATGACATATCTATTTGGTCATCAGATGCTAATCCCAGTGCGATTCAGACTCGTCTCCAAACTTCACTTTTAATAATTGAACAATTTATCATTGAACGAGGTATGTCGATTTCTACTGAGAAATCTGCGGTCCTTCCATTTACACGACGAAGACTCAATAACCTTGAACTCACGCTTGGAGGGAAACCTTTGCCTTTGGTGAAGGCTCATCGTTTCCTAGGGGTGTACATCGACCGGAACCTGTCTTGGACAGCTCATGTAAAATATTTAGAAAGAAAAATTGCGCCATACATCAATATCTTACGCTGCTGCTCTGGAACCAGATGGGGTGGCTCTTCGAAAGCACTTTTAACTCTCCACGGAGCACTCGTTACACAGTCCCTTTCGTATTCACTTCCAGCATTATGTGGGCTCTCCCGGACTCTTGAAGCGCGACTCAAACATCTGATTGCCCGCAGCCTCCGAATCTGCTTGGGAGTACCAAGAGCCCTAGCAAGCTCCTTGGTGGTTGCAGAAGCTCACGCCCTCACAATACCGATTCTACGTGAACGGGAAACTCTCCGACATTTCATTCGCCCTCTTACACGACATCATGATCACCCACTCGTTGCAACTATCCGCCGTAGGACATTTTCCAGTGTACATAAGGTAATAATGGCTAATGCAGATATAGTTCCCGCAAACTTCGGACTCCCATTTGAACCTCCAGCTGCGCTTTGGACATTTTACTCTGCAAATATTTCTACATCAGTGCCTGGAGTTGTGAAAAAATCGAATTTAAACCAAACCACGCTGAAGCAAATGACACTTTCAATGCTTTTTGAAGCCCCGGATGACGTTACTGCGGTCTACACGGATGGGTCAACAAGCGATTTATCATCTACAGCAGCATTTATAATTCCATCTTTAAATATAGAAAAAAGCTTCTTACTTTCACACAAGACAAGCTCAACTAACACAGAACTATTTGCTATTTTGCAAGCGGTTCTCTACTTTACTCAGAAAACAAGTATTATCAGTTGGACTCTCTACACGGATTCAATGAGCGCACTGAACATGATAAAATACATATCACCAACAAGTTCATCTATTGCCATTAATATTTGTTTCCACCTCTCGAGAGCTATTGAAACTGGGCATAAAATTAATTTTCAATGGATCCCTGCACATTGTGGCATTCAAGGAAATGAAGCGGCCGATCGGGCAGCCAAAAATGCCCACAATATAAATACCAAGACTGCAATTACTTTCACGAAAGGAGACACATTAAACCTGCTCAGAAGGACATCAAGGAAAAGATCCGAGGCTACTTGTTATAAAGACGCTCCTCAAAACTCCCACCTCGAACGGATTGACCCTAACTTAAAATTTTGGATGCCAAGACACATTTCAAGAGCTTCTGAAACATTGATACACAGACTTCGATTAGGTGTTCCTTTTGGACAACACTTCCTACATCGAATACGACAGGTTACCTCCCCTTTGTGCACCACATGTGACGAAATAGACGACGCAGAACACGTACTAATCAACTGCCGAAGGTACACAGATGAACGAGACCATCTTCGAGAACAAATGTCCACTATCGATAACCGCCCATTGTCCCTCACAACACTCCTTGGTCCATGGAACACACGAAGGACCCAACAAACTGTGATCGGGTATCTTGTAGATTATCTGGAGGACACAAAATTAAGTGAGAACTATTGACAACAACAAATTTCATATAGTGTACGCTCCTGGCATGCCGTCACTGTGCTGCGGCTTATTTTTGGAAGGGACAGGACACCGTTCTAGAGGCTGCCGGTCCGAGGACAAGGTGGATACCTCCTCATAGTGAGGACGGTTGCTTAGTCCAAGGACGGTGCCTCCCACCAGGGATGGTCGGACGTACTGTGACGTCGGGTTTTCGATATTGTAAATGATTATTTTATTGCATATGTATATGCATGTATGTGCGTGTACGTGTATGTATACGTGTATGTGTGTATGTGTATATATATATATGTATATATGTGTATATATATGTATATGTATGTATGTATATGTATATATGTATGTACATAATCTTTTTTTTTTTTTGTAAAATTTATATGCTGCTTGTAATTTCAATCAATGGTCTGGAGTAGCCGGCGCTGGTTCTGCAGCTGCTAAAATCTCCACTTTGAACGTTTTGTTTTAATAAAGATCTATTCTCTCTCTCCCCCGCGAATTCCGCGATTTTAAGGTGTGTCCTGACGGAAGTTGTAGCGAAGACGACGCCGTTATTCTTGGAGGGATCACAAATATCACTGCTACAAGGATCATCTGATCCGATGTCCGATGATGTTTCTTCTTTCATATTCACCGAAAAACAAAACAAAAAAACGGTGAACTTCTTTAGGAATAAATATACACCGAAAAAAACGAAAATTAAATTTTAATATAAACATCGAAAAAAGTACGCTGAATTTTGAAAAGATAAAAACCCAAAACCCGGAACCCTAGTTATTTACAATGGCAAAATATCTAAGTTTTTTTTTTTCTAAAATGAGAGTAAGACTATTTTTAAGCTCAAAGTTCTACGTAGACCCGAAGAAGTACTAAAAATAATCCAGTTTCTTAATAAACCTGCTGCTCTTTTTTTTTCTTTCCTTACATGCCCGATAAGGTTTTTAGCCACGATAAGGGGACCTGCGCGGCAACGGCGGCGACAATGGACGCTCTCCTCAAAATACGCACGCTTTCGCGGCACGCCGAGCGTGCTGCGTGTGCGGACTTAGCATTGGAGGAAACAAGGACAGACATAAAACTAAAAATCGTTTTAGAACAAGGTCAATAGCCATGCCATAGAATAAAGCGCGCTTGTTAAGCACGGCTGTTCGCTTGGCGAGTTCAAAGCTCCAACACACTTTCCCCGTATCTGTCGCAAAAACGACGCAAACAACAAAACGACGATACTGGCTTCGCCGCGGTTTAGACACGTGAGATCCGTTGGCGCACGCGCTCTGGCTGTTGGAGCGCCGCCAACATCGCCGGAAACGGGGATCGTCAGCCGTCGCGTGCACTGCCAAAAGAAAAGCTGTCGCAGCGGTCGCTTGTTGGGGCCCCACTCGGGGAAAACAAAAGCACGGCACCATGGAAGCGACTCCGTGCGCCTCGTGTAAAAAGAAGCGATACCATCGGATCACGAGGAAATGGTGAGTCGGCGATCATTCGGTTTCCCTTCGAACGATTATGAACCCAAGTATTTCTAAATGCGGTTTTGCACTGTGAACGGTATGCGCTGTCCTCGGGGGTTTCTCCACGAATTGAAGTTAGGGGGGGTGTCTAAATTTTAGGGGAGGGGGACGTTAGTGTGGGGTGGGGAGGGGGGCATTGAGAATAGAGGAGTCTTTGCGAATTAAGGGTGTGCCTTCAAAAAAAGCAAGAAAGGGGGGGTGGACACACGCACACACACACACACATATATATATGTATCGTAAAACGGAGGTAAATGCTTTAAAGGGTATCTTTAGACGATGTTCCGAGCGGCGTCCGCGCTGGATCAGATCCTAATAACTCGCTGCCTCGACGCGGCGCCCCCCCTCCCCCTCCCCCCTCAAAAAAAAAAAAAAAAAAAGGTAAGTATTGCGTGTAAGAGCGACGAAAATTCCTACAATTTTTGTATTCTAGGTAAAAAGATAATTTTCTCAAAACCGGATTACTTGTGCTGGCGGACGTCAGAAAATGCGCGATACTTACTAATTACTTCGCTAATTAATTCAAAATGGCTGATTAACTTTTTAATTAGTGAAAATAGACATATGGTTCCAACTAGAAAGTTTTGAGCGTCATCGAAAACCACTAAATCAACTTTTTTTTAGAACGATCTGAAACTCGTGGCAAACTCGGGGGCGCACCAAAGTTACCACTCCTGCAGCAGGCGCAAAGCTAGTTGTGGCAAAACGCGGATGATTTAATTAGAGCACTGCAGGGGCTCGGGTCAGCCCAAAGGCCCGAGCCCGTCCCGTCCCGGGGGCCGGGCTTTGGCCGGGTAGCACGCATTTTCTCGGGCCCGGGTCGGGCTCGGGCGCTGAACAAAATATTTTTCGGGCCGTGACGGCCCGTAACGGCTCGCGCCGGCCCAGGCCGTGCCGTGGATGGGCAGTCATGTGCCGCAAATTCTAAATTGTTGATAACGTAAAGTTTGTTCATTGATCTTTTGGGTTCAGTAAAAACACTACAGAGCCGTCCAAAAAAAGAAAAAAAAAAAGACGTTTTTCTATGGAAAGTTTTTACGCGGATAAAGGGAAACGTATGAATTCCACCAGCACAGTGGGAAAGTGAGGTCAAGGAAACGAAGACGAGGGCACTTCAGTCGCACGGCGCAACATGAGTGTCTTTTTCCTCTGCCGTTCAAACTAAAAAAAAAATAAAAAGAAGAAAAAAAAACGCGAGTTTGGCTTTGCACTTTGTGTAGGGGGCCTGACTAATTAATAATAATTTATAATAATAATAATAATTATAATAATTTTATGCTTTAGACCGACAGGCGGGCTTGACGTCACGGAGCTGCGGCGGCGCTTTGTGGTGTGGACAGAAGGGCGCACGTTTCGCATGGCCGTCACAGCATTTCAGCATGCCGCGAAGCTGCGTAGCCATTAATTGCACCGAGAGGTACAGAAAAAGTAGCGGAGTGAGTTTTGCGGACTCTGAAAGGCACAGAAGATGGATAATATCCGCGGATCGAAAAGAATGGTTGCCTAGCGCGATCGAGCGTTTGTGCGAAAGCACTTTCTTGAAGGGAAGAGCGGCTTCCATTTCAATCTCCGCCTCGAGGCTTGCTTATCTGCAGGGAAACTGTCGTCTGATCGGAGAGCACCCGGATTTTCTTCCCACGGTGGTCGCGCACAAAGCACCGGCCATGCTCGCCGGAGGCTCGCTGCCTCCGATCTACCAAGTCTAAGGAGAACGGCCACAGAACGGCAGTGTTTTAGGCGTTACCGAAAAAAAAAAAAAAGTCACGAAATACGTACACACTACCTCAAAATAAAAGGAACGCGTTACCGCTTGTCAATGAAGTGGGGATAATCTTCAATAAATGAAAATAATAGCCCACTCCGAGGCCAACAAAAATTACTTTAAAAAAAGGAATAGAAGTGCTAGGTTGGACCGATAGCAGGCGATAGGTCCACGCCCGGTGCAATGTCAGGTAAGGAGGCGACGACACGTAGATGGTCAAAAACAAAACACAAATTTAATAAGACTTAACACCAAGTAGTCGGTGGCGCGCGGCGACGAAGTAGGAACAATATAGAAATCACTTAGCGAACTATCCAAAAACCCTCGGGAGTACATGCACTAACATCCCGGTTAGTAATTCTAAAACCATTCCCAAACAACCCTCGATAAGACATACTTAAAATTGATCAAACACGTTGGCCCTAGCCAATCGCAACATAAAATAAAAGTCTTCTCTGTAGTCCAGACGCTGCCGAAGCCTGTCTTGGGGTCCCTGGTCGATGAAGAGGAGTCGTCGCGGAGTCCGGAGTCTTCACGCTGCTTGCAGGGACGACCCGACGCATTACACGCGTACGCACACGCACCGCAGTGCAAACACGCCCGAAGGCTAAAATAAGCTCAGGCCTGCAGGAAAACTAGGGTCACAGCCCTACGTACAGAAATTACAACCGCGACTCAAAAACAAGGCAATGACGAGCGGAGTCCCGGCCAGCTCCGGGCACTCCTAACCGCAAAGACGAACCACACTTCTTCCCGCCAGTCCACGTCTTTATATTGAGACTAGCGGCATTTTCAGGGCTCGTAATCTGGCTAATCTGCAATGAGCTTCTTAGCGCCAATCACCGCTCTTCGTTTTAGCAAAGCAACTAAATATACAAAAGTACAGTACCGAGAAACAAACCGTGAGAGACTTTGCCCGTCTGCGCGGCGGTGAACGCCATTCGAGATGCCTGGTTGTGAACACTGCCCTCGGTCAACAAGAAAATTAGAATAACAAATACAACAAACCAATGCTCTCGGTCGGCTTCGACTTTCGAAGAATGGAGACACCATCCCCCAGCGCTCCCATGTCCTCTCTCACCTGGGGAGAGGGTTGTTCCGCCCGGTTTCATAAACACCCGCATGGGAACGGGCACGGCCGAAAGTTGACACCATGCATCTTGCACTGCTGGTGTGCCCGAGAGTTCTTACACGAAGCTTAGAAGAAAACCCCGCGATTCGTGACACCGCTACCGATAAAAAGTAACGCAGGTTACTTTTGCGCTAGTTTTTTTAAATTATGATTTAACTTGTTTTAGTGTTTTGACAGTACAGGTATGCATAAGCTCACATATCAAGAAACATTTTGTTCATGCAGAAACTGAGCATAATTACTTTATCTTTTTCACGGTTTCACTTAAATACTGACGAGAAAAAACGCAGAAAACTCAGTTTTTAGGCTTGACGCCTAAAAACACGGAAGAAGTTGGAGTGTAATTTGTTAAGACTTGGAAAGAAATAGTAACGAGTAACGTAACTTCGTTACTTGAAATAGTAACGCAAGTGCGTTATCCGTTACTGTGTCGAAAAAGTAACGAGTGGGTTACTCGTTACTGAAAGAAAGTAACGGGGTATTGGTAAAGCCGTTATTTGTAACGCGTTACCTGCAAGACTACAGAACGGACAGAGCGTTACCGTTTGTCATGCCTTCTGGTCATGAGGGTACGGAAAGTATCATACCTTGACTCGAAGACTCTGTGTGTATTTAATCAACTAATAAATACAGTTCCGCAGACCCACAGTTTGCTCATCCAGCCGGCAGCCCCGAAACCGGCTCGAAGTAATTGTAGGTCTCGAGAGACTTGTACGCCTGCACCGTGCAGGCCGTGAAATGGCTTTACGAAAAAACTAAATAAACGATGACGTGAACCCTCGACGTCGGTGGCAGCAACTTCATGTCGGAAGCCCAGCAGGCCTTGTTTACGGCGAACGGATCCTCGAAGGCAACACCGTCCACGCACAGTTTGTTTCGATACCGCTACCGTTCAGGCTCGGGTAGCGAGCTCAAATATACTCGAGCATAACATACGGCATACGTTGGCAAGAAATACAACGCACAAATAAAGCTAAAAGCGTCCCTACAACGTTAACAACGAGCGCACGAAACGCAACGCTATGGCGAAACCGAGGAGAGTCTGACCGCTTTTGCCCACACAGCTTCCGCTAATGCGCGGCCTTCCGGCCGTGTTGGTAAACAGAGGCGCTCCGCGTTTCCGTTTATACAGCCTTTAGAAGATGCGCTAGCGTGATTCTGATTGTCTCTTCACAAAAAAATATAGAGAGAAAAGTTCTATTTGAAACGAACTGAAAAACGAAAATTCCAATATCTCTTCAAGAACTGCATAAATAAAATATAGCTCACTTTTTTTTTCAAAAAATCACTTATGAAGTGCATATTTCGTCCATATTCTGGAAAATACATAGTCTAAGTCTGTATATTTATCGGGCCCAAGTTTAAAAGAAATTTAAATCAAATATGGTCGCTTTATGCTTCGACAGTTTTTAGGTTAAAGCCTGCAAACTTTTTTGGGCTCATGTATACACGAACTCATCTCTGTGACGTCACGGCGCGGTGGTGGCGCGTCGGGCGCACTTCCGGTCTGGGGCTGTGGGCGGAAGCCGCCATGGGGCACGTGCATTCCTGTGTCACTTTGGAAGAAACTGGAAAATCTGCCTTCTCGTCAAAACGTCGCGATGGGGCTCTACTAAAAGAGTCGGGAAAGGTTTGAAGGTCAGTTTTCATGCGTTTTCTGCCTGCTCAGTTCGTCCGAGAACGTGAACAGGGGCCGTGAAAAAGGAAAAACAGACGCCGTCGGACAACGATTGCTTGGACGGGAAGCACTTTAGATTGAATTCACGGATACTTTCGGTCGTCAGATTTTTTTTGTTTTGTTCCAACATGAACGCAGAAAAACCGTCAAGTTGCACGGACCACCTGCGGACTACGTTCAGTGCGTCATCACGTTCAAACGGCCGCCTCATCGTTCGAGCTGTCACCTGTGTTGGCGCGCGTCCGTGTCGTACCTGTGTCTTTTCTCGTCCTGTTTGTTCGCGCCTTTTAACCTTTTATTCGAGCTGTCGTCTGCTCTCTCAAACATTTCTGTATGTCGTCTGCTCGTTCAAACGACAGCGGCCCGTAGACCAAACGTTCACCCGG